GACAACAACTTCTATGGAAATAGGGTGTGGGATCTATATAAAAACCCTATTTTATTAGCATGTCTTCTCTGTCTAATGCTGGCTGCTAAGTGAGAGCAGACAGGAAGGTGAAATACGAGCTGTAAAGTCAGACAAACTTCAAAATGTTCACTCCGTGAATTCCGTGTAATTCTGATGGTTTAACTCTCACATGGAATTATTTTGTGAAATCTTAAGCTCTGTTACAGCTAGAGTCATCTTTCTTAAAAACCTATAAATTCTATTCCATATGTTCTGTTTACTTTGTTGGCAAATTAGGAAATAATTTATCAAATGGAAATTAAACTAAAGCTGTGCAAGTATTAAGAACAAATTTGCAATTAGAACAAGTCCGATTACTTGAAAAAATTAGAGCATAAAGACGGGAAAGATAATCTCTTAAAGCTCATGTTCATGTTGTGTTTAATTTCTTATAAATATCTCAATTAATTTTAGTTTATTTTAGTATACAATAGTTAACTTGGGTTGATTTGTGTAGAGTAAATTCTACTGAATTACTGTTACTAGGCTATATAGCTAGCCTAAGTGAATGTTTGTACTGTCCTAGTAATTATAGACCCATTAGTCTTACATCAGTTGTGGGAAGAGTTTGGGAAAGTCTGTTAAAATATGATGTGCAAAGTCATTTAACAAAGTTTAGAATTTTATTGGATAGTCACTAAGGGAAAATCTTGCCTTCCAAATCCTTTGACATTCTTTGAAAATGTTACTGCTTATGTGGATGAGGATAAGGGTGTAGATTTGGTGTATTTGGATTTTCAGAAAGCATATGACCAGGTGCCACATAAAAGGCTTGTAAATACAAATTATCTCTATAGATGTGGGGAAAAGTTAACAAATTGTATAGAAGAGTGGCTGGATGGAATAAAGCAGAGGGTTGTTACAAATGGAGTTCAGTCAAACTGGATTAATATCACAAGTGGGTACCTCAAGGCTCAGTCTTTGGACCTTTGCTCATTTTGATTTACATCAATGACATAGATGAAGGGATAGTCAATAAATTACTTAAATTTGCAGATGATATTAAAGTCTTTGGTGTTGTTAGGTGTGAAGAGGATGCTGCTGATTTACAAAAGGATTTAGATAATTTAGTGAGTTGGGCAAATAAATGGCAGATAGGTTTTAATTATAATAAATGCAAAATAATGCATGTGGGTTATCATAATTTGAATTATAAGTATAATTTGGATGGGAATAACCTTAACAGTGTAAAAACGTCGATCAGTCTCTAAAGCCATCCAATCAGTGTGATGTTGCTTGTTGTAGGGCAATTTGGATTTTGGGATGTATCTACAGAAATTTTGAATTCAAGTCTAAAGAGATTATAATTTCATTGTAGAAGTCACTGGTTAGGCCATTTTTGGAATATTGTGTTCAGTCTTGGGCTCCTTACCTTAGGAAAGACATTAAATTGGTGGAAAGGATTTAGAGAAGGATTATTAGAATGGTGCCTGAGATGGAGGGGTTGTCATACGAGGAGAGGTTGAAATCTCTCAAATTGTTTTCTCTTGAAAAAAGAAGAGTTAGGGAGGATCTGATTGAGATGTTTAAAATTGTAAAGGGAATTGACAGTGTTGATGCATCATCTTTTCATATTTAACAGTGAAAATAGTAGGACTAGGGGACACAGATATAAGTTTTGGCAAGGTAGGGTCATCTTCAGCTAAGACAGTTTCATTTTTCTAATAGAATGGTTGGCCTTTGGAATGGGTTGCCTTCAAAGGTTGTAGAGACTGTAAATTTAAGTGAATTTAATAAAAAGCTTGATAAGTATATGAATGATAAGGCTGGCTTTAAAAATTTTTTTAAATTATTTTAATTTAGTTTAGAG